TCTAGGAGGAGCATATTGGCGCGCTATCTTGAACATGTGGTTAACATTATTCACGTCCATGCTCTTCTAGGTGCACTTAATGTCACTCATGCAGACGTGCACCAACCGTAGACATCACTTTTCTTGGAAAGAAAGAGTTTTTTGGGCTTATATCGTTTGCGTCTCAAACACAGACTAAACAGCCATCATTTAGAATTTATTGCCTTCCATTTCAACTGAGGTATCAACTTAGCTTCGCCAGCACCTAAATATTTTGAGAGTTACATTGCGAGAGTGTTAGGCAGGGAATTATAACCTCGATTAAAATTGTATTATGTGACTCGTTATAACCATTCAGTACCAACTTATTTTAAAACTTAAATTTACAAAATGGAATTTTTAATAAGTAAAAAACGGTGAATAATGAAATAAACATCAAAACATTTTACTTAAATTTGACAAATTTTTTCAGATGAATAAAAGAAATTAGAAAACATTGAACAAAAATTTTGTTTAAATTAATTTTAGAATGAACTTGAACATATCTGCGGTACGCTGTGAATGAATTTAAGTCCTTTCCCGCACAAACTTATCATTTACCTATTTGTTGGAGTTTGTTCTTTCAGATTAGTTATTATGTTTGATTTCTATGGTTTCACTAAAAAACAAACATAAAACGCGCACATACAGGCACACACACATACAGGCATACACACAAACACACACACACACACACGTATACAACGAATAAATGATGGATAATATATATATGTCATACATATAAATATATAATTTTCATTTAATTCTTTTAAATTTATTCGTTCCGTAGAACTAATCCTTGAGCCCAGAAGCTTCAATGCATGTAAGTAGACTGCCCTTCAAGATTCCTTCCTATTAATAACCTCAATTTATCTTATGATCGATGATACACTCCAACACATTTAATGCATCGAATGCGATTAAATAGAAATTATTTAACCAGCACGTTGGCATTAATATTAAATATTTCAATATATCACTTTGTTTTTTTACGAGTTATAGTGAAAAAATAATATTATATTGTAATAATATATAATATATTGTAATATTTATTTATATATGATTTAAACTAAAAATTCTTTTTGATCCCCTGGCTATAATAACAGATAAAATTTATGTATTCTAAACAAACATTAGTGGCATTTTCAAAAGTTTTTGTTTTTCAGCAGAAAAAAGTCTAAATAAATAGTTCGTTTGATAAATTAACCTGGTACCATTTCGCTTGGAGATAGCTTCATTTTTTGCCAATTTAGATATTTATTCAAGCTAACTCTATTTTTAATTATGTCCAAATTAAAAATACAAATCACCTTTTTTCATAGTGAAAAAGAAATTAAGAATGAAATTACATTTTCGATTATTTTAAAAATGTTCAGTGATCAAACTTCGCGACGATTCAAAATTGTAAGGATGAATTCGTAGAGATTTTAAACATTTTTATCGTTTAAGCATAAATGTGCTTTCATTATAACGAATCATGTTGAAATTGCACCGTTATTCAAATTTTACTTTGCTCTGGTAAACGAAAACTCGATTTAGCGATATAATTTTTTATTTAAAGTTTTTGGTTTGCCGTCGAAAAATATAAATATATGGTTCATTTTACGGACATTTGTAATTCACTGTTACACTTAGTTTATAAAAATTATTTTCGTTAATTCATGATCATAAAAAAAATGTATAATTATACGGTTCAAATAAATTATTTTATTCAAAATGTTGATAAAAAATAATAAATAATAAAAAAATGATCAAAAAGTAAAAAAATAATATGAATTTAATAAATTTTGAAATTTTATTCTATTTCAAAAACAGCTCAACTTGCATATAACATGAGGTTGATGTGTAAACATTAAAAAAACACTCAGCAACACTAACTTCACTCTTTGTTAACTGCAGTATGAGTTGAAAATAACAAAAACATTAAACAAACTTTATCAATATGTAGGATATAAATAATTTCAATTGTTAATTAACATCTAAATCAAAATGTTAAAATTATTTCAAATAAATATAGCGAAATCGACATTAAAACCAACAAAAAGAGTTTAGTTAACAAAACTCTTGGATCAAACATCAACACATTGACAACGAAATTGCTAATGATGCCTCAGTAACTTCAGAATACGTTTGAAACAGGACTTGAACACGGACCCGTATAAATTCTCAAACCTCATATCACTAGCACTATAGAGCGTATATATTATATTGTTCCCAACTCATTTTCTGCACACTAAATATATATATATATATATATATATATATATATATATATATATATATATATATATATATATATATATATATATATATAATAGATGTCATGTTTTACTGTTTGTAGTCATTTATGAAATCTACAGAATTTCTATTGAATATTTCTAACCAAATTTTTGTTGTCATTATTTATTTTGTTAAAATTAGTACAATATACAGTTTTCAAATTCATTCTATATAGGACTTATTTCAGATCTGTTCAAATAGTGTCGAATCCTGTATAATCTTGTGAGAAATTGTATGCAAGTCATTGCTAGCGAGTTAATATGATCTTTCATGGAGGGCCTTCTATTCAACCAGACACCAAAATTCAAGGCTCTAGAAACAAATGACACCTTAGTGTCATCCACCACAAGCCCGAGTTTATATCAAGATTCAACAACTGCTGCCATGTACCAGGAGGAAGCATGTTGGGATTACCCAGGTTCAACCTCAAGAAATTGCTCAACATCCGACCTTTAGTCTTCATCAGACAGAAAAAATTGAAATTTTGAAAACAGTGGCATTTGGATATTTGAAGAGAGTGTGGACAAAATTCAATTCAATTTCTTATGGGGACAATTTTTTCGTTTTTTATTGTGAAAAATCATTTTTAGTATTTTATGAAAATTGTTATTTTGGTCTATTAAATTAATTTTAAAAAATATTATTGGTTATTTATTTTTTATTCATAAAGCCCAAGTTAACAACCTCTGGAAATCTGCAAAAAATTATTTTGGCATTTGTAAAAATTGGTGAAAAATTTGATTGGAAGTAAATCTCAAAGATTAAAAAGTATTATCACGTACTAAAATTTTTTTTGCAAGTAAAATTAAAAAATTGATAAAATTTACTTCAGAGCATCGTGAATTTAAAAGCCATTTTTTATGCAACCATCCACTGGATAGAAATGTATAATACAATACATTTTTGAAAGGTATCCTATGTTGATTTTCGTGAAAAAAAATCGTAAACTGATTTGTTTTCACTTTGATTAACATTTTCATTGGCCAGTCTAACGACATTTTGATAATAATTTTATTTTATTTTATTTTATTTCATTTAGCATGCCATGTTCATATAAATCGTTTTAAACTTTTGAGTCACAAAGAAAAATCTTGCAGTTCAAATGATGTCTCCTGGTTTTGAATGTTAAAGTTACAAAATTGCGAATGATAAATTATTAATTCATATAAACGTCTACATTTCAACTACTAAAATTTGTTAATGATCGGGTTTTATAAAGGTCGATGGTCGCCAATGTCCTGAAAATTTAAGGCACGAGAAAGAAAGAAAAAAGAAATGTCTGTAAAAACATCAAAAACAGTTATAAAATTTAATTCTAATGTCATTTATGAATTGTATAAGAATAAATTTTGAAATTAGGGACTAAATATATTTTTAGGATTCATTCCCTATAAAATTTTCAAGTTATTCTTATATACACCTCATTAAAAACCTATTGTATATTCATAAGAAGCACTACCGTATTTTCAGTTTTGTTCAAATTTCTAGTTTATTTTATTCCATTTCGTATTATATTGTTTACAATTCATTGACTTTTACTATTTTTCAATGTCTTTTTATTCTGTCTTTCACAGAAAGAGCTGAACAATAAAATTAATTGTATATAATTGAATTTTAAACTAGCATATCATCAAGATGTTTCTTCGTAGTCCTACTGAATGAAGTTAACAGCCCGTAGTCGTAACATAGATAAGGTTCAAGTAATCTTTTTTCAAAATTCTTCATGAACTACGATCTGCAATGGTAGCAATGAATTGAATGTTTGTGATGTTTTCAAATACATTGATGACGTAACTTTACGATTTGATTAATTTAATGTGATTCGTTCAATTGATAACTACTATATACTACTATAATATATAACTACTATATACTACTATACTATATAACTACAACTAAGATAAACAATAAAAATATAATTGTAAAAATTCAGACTTCATGCAAAAAGGTGGATTTTCAAATCATCTAACATTGAATACAATTGTAAAAAATTTGAAATGCTTTTTTTGAAGTGAGATATATTTTTCGACTTAAACTTTAACAATATTTTCATTATAAATGCATCCTGCTATCTGGTTTCGGATATTGTTTTTTGTTTCAAGAGCGCTCCCTTACTTTCTGCAGTTCGTCCTGATATGCTCACATTTGAACAAGCAGAAGCCTTATTTTCAACGAAGTTCTCGCATTTGAAACCGACCAACACAACACTTGCTGGCCACTAATAGATAAACTTATGTCAGATGAAATTGTGAAACTATCTATTCTGTCAGAATAAAAAATTTTGATGAACTTTTTGAACGTTTAACGTGTACATAACCATCAACACATTTTCAAATGATGAAAAAATTTATTTATTGAAGATAATTTTTTAAAATATCATCAAATATGAATGAATTTAAAATTTTACAATTTTCATTTAACTTTGTGTGAAACGTGCATAGCTCTTTTAATTACTTCATGTGCATGTGAAAATGAAAAAAGTTTTTACATAAAACCCGATAAGGAAGAGACAAATCAGCTTGTGATAATCTTTGTATTTATTCAATTTCTTAAAAAGTTCAGAGTTTGATGATTCATTTCATGAACATATAACATACATAAATCTATTATTATCGATCTCATCATTGTAACAACATTATCATTTTAACTTTATTATCATCACCGCCTTTTTTCGTTTAGGTTTTTCTGCGTTAAGAATTTTTTCAACTTTTGAAAAGCGACACAACAAGAAGCAAGCCGTGTGCAGGAGATACCGTGGCCGATTTTATCACTTTGAAAAACAAATCTTCGCCAGATGTGGCTATCTCGCTAAATGCATGCGAAAATATGATAGGGATGAAAAAGCATGCAGACGTCGAACTCAAGGCATTGGTAGAATGAAGCACCTCAATAAAGTTTTCAAAAGATTCAGAAATGGCATCAGGGAAGGAGGAGTTGCAAAGAAAGTGGAGGCAGTGGCACCAGCTCCAGCATCTGCAGCAGCAAAATAAACTATTTGGTCTAAGTTGATGTTCATTTTTCCAGAAAATAAATTTTATGATGACGATATTTGTTAAAACGCAAGTAAATAAATATTGTCTGTGTAAATTGAATTAAGTCATCGTAATCATCTTCATCCATTGTTATTATCTTCATTGAACATCCTTGTTGTTGTAATTACAATCGCTGTGATCAATCTTTTTCGTAATCATTATAGGAAATATTTTAACTCATCCCAGTCAGGATTCATGGGTGAAATTTTTAATACACTTTTCTGTTTTTTTTTCCCTTTACAGTTCCTTTGATAAATTTTAACTTATCCAAAGACAAAATAGCAATAATCAGTCTAATGTAGAAATGTTTGAAAAATTTCAGATAAAGTAAATGTATTGATTTGCCAAACGAAATTAGTTGATCACAAATTCAATAAACAACAACAGTTTTTCATATTTGGAACATAATTTATTTTCTTAATAATTTACTCCAGAGCAAACACAGGAAGAAATATAAAATGATGTAAACCTTGTGAACAGATCCTCATATGTACGTAGATAGTGACATGTTTACGTGGGCAGGTGCCTCTAGTTCCAATATTTATCTCTGCTGAAGGCAGTCGTAAATTAAGTTACTGTGCGCTCTTCAGTAAAATTATTTTTTTATAAATACCATAGTTTTGTATTATCAGCCGAATGTTAAGCCTCGACTGTATCATTAAATTATTGTTATAATTCTCGCTGTCGTAACTGATTTACGATGCGACGGGTTCAAATTCTTGATTGAATAAAATATTCCAAACAGTTATTAAACTTTATTTACAGAAGAAATCAACTATTATTAGTTATTAAACTTTATTTACAAAAGAAATCAACTAATCGTTTATTTCTAGTAAATTCAAACTAACGCAACAATTAACTTTTAAATCGTTCAAAATCTATCGCTATGACAACGTCAACAAACAAATCAAATATCGCTTTAAATAATTCACCGAATCGCTATTCACAAAATCACGAATTTCAGTAATCACGAATATCACTAATCACGAATATCACTAATCACGAATATCACTAATCACGAATATCACTAATCACAAATATCTTGCGACGTGCGCTTATATACTCTTCGCAAGCGTCGTTTCTAGATTCTTCCCGATGGTCCGATTCCAGCATACTCTAGAACGTTCCAGTCACTAGAACATTCTAGAATACGCTAGAATCTAGTGCGTTCGGTAGCACGGTTATAACATTACCCCCTTCTTAGTTCTGTTCGTCCCGAACAGCTTTCGTTCCGGTGTCCGCATGGTACGGAGCCAGTCTATCCAAATGGACGATCTTCATTCTTGCTCTCGGCTTCCGATATTCCTGAATACGGTAGACGACGTCATTCAAGCGGGTGATGACTTGATAAGGTCCTTCCCACCCTCGCTGGAGCTTTGGAGAACGTCCTTTCTTCCGCTGTGGGTTGACAGCCAAACT